AAAAAAAAAAGAAAATGCGAAATGTCCTAATATTGTATATATGTTTCAATATGCACAACTAATTATAAAATATTTTGATTTGTTGAAAAATCAGTATGGGGTCTGTCGAGTCTTATGCTAAGAAGATTTCTTACAGGATTTTAAAAATATTACATTTACTTTTATCTTAAAAATCACACTATTTTCATAATGAAATCCCCCTATATATTAATACAGAACGCGCTGAGCCTACGTGGCTGCTTCTGGTGCTTCGGAATCCTATGTGGCAAAATTCATGGCTTGGATAAATTTTAATTTAATTTCAAACCAAAAATAATTAGGTTCGGATTACCATAAATATATTGATTATTTATAGTCATGTTACATGCATTAATGACATTTTAATATCATTCCTTCTTATAACTATTGAATTGTATATGCATTTTAAAAGTTAATAACTTTTGTATTTTTTATCAGTTTTACATATGTAATATATCAAATTAATCTTCTTTTGATGAACTCCGATTTAACATCGATATTGTATGTATAAAAAAAATTATTTATATTTATCTTTATAACAATAATAAATTATTTTTAATATTAATTAGAAAAATAAATTATTTATCAACTAATATATTTATATTTTAAATAGTTATATGATATAAGTTATAAAAACTAATATAATATAACACATGTAAGTCATAAGTAATACATATCATTCTAAAATATATAGTAATATTTTTTTTTTTGTAAAAAGTAAACTAAATTTAATATAGTTTTCTCATTAATGTTAAAATTTAAAAATATTTTTTAACAAACACCCGTGTAATATACGGGTGTTGTACTAGTATATCTTTATTATAAGTGACACCAATTAGCCACATATTTACATGTTAATCCATGCTTTTATGCAATTTTTGACTACATATTGTGGCTCATTAAATCGATGTTGTGATGCGAGACGGTTAAGTTCACCTCGCACACATTAGCAGTGATGTAAAAGTTGTCTTTGAACCGAAGTTTAATATGTGATATCGCAAGATGCCTTTTGGGTCAACCTGAAAAACAAACTGGGAGATACAAAATACGCCGAGAAAAAAACCTTCAACCCTCAAATTAGAGACCTGGCTGGTAGGATTGTAAATTGGTATATTTTAAATATATTTGCGTGTAACCTCTATTAAGATTATGAGAACCTCATTTTGTAAGGAGTTTGTCGTTATTTCCACGCTACCTCGTTACTTAGAAAGAGATATTCGCGTATCTCGTTTCCTAGTATGATAAGTTTTTTTAGATCTATTATCCTTAGGCGACATATACTTGCCCATATTAATGATTCAATATCTTTTCCCGATCTTAGGCCCTTATGTCGTAATAACACCATCTGACCTTTACAATGTACGCCCCAACAGGTCTTACAACGACATGGTCAGAGCCTTGGTGCACCTCTTCATTTCACTATGTACCTTTCTCTGTGTTAGCTCATTGATGTGGTCGGTTTCCTATCTCTCAACTATGAGTGACTTATCTCCTAAGCTATCAAGTAGAGCTTCTAGACAACGCTCCATGTTGTTGAGCTTCGACTTATTCTAAATTGAGTAAGCTGAGTAGACCACTCTAACATATCTATCAAGCTATTATGAACACTATATCAACCTGGTGATCCCAAAATGCAACAAAAACAATTATTATTGGCAAAATTGTCTCTAATATCAAGACATTTTTTTCGAAATTGTGATTTAATCACGACTTTGTCACTTCAGAACCTTCATTTATTGCAAATCGCTGCACGTGTTCTAAAGACCAACCCTATAAAAGTTGATGTGACCGAGGAACAAGTTATGGATTGTGATACAATTTGCACGAATTCTGCAAATCAAATCGGTATACTAATTTGCAAGAAACTAAAGATTGTACTATAATTTGTAAAAGTAAAAAGTCATGATTAAATTATAATCACTACAACATGAATGGCTTTAGGTAGCACTAAATAAATGATACGTAAAAGTTTTAAAATGTTACATAAAAGCTATAAAATGTCACTATAGACAATAAGTAACACAATATTGGCGCTGCAGTTGTTCGTGCTACCTAAAAGTCAAAGGTAACACTTTTGGTAGTTTTTTGTAACACTTATATGATACTTTTGCTAGTCTTTGGTAATACTTATATTAAAGTGTTACAATAATATGATACCTAAACCAATAATTCGTAATACAATATTGGCGTTGCAGTTGTTCGTGCTATTGTAGTGAATTAAGAAAAAAAGTGGTGATATGTTGGGCAATTTTGACTTTATTTTTTAGGCATCCTATATTAAAAAGACAAAATTTTAGTAGATTTCCATAAAGAAAAAGAGGAAAGATATTGTGTTACTATTGCAATAAAGTGGTGTATACAGCCCAACTGTCGTGCACGACCACAGTATCATTCCCCTCTCAAACAACGCCACGTGTGCCGAAAGTTTGACCAGACCTTTTTAGTCACATTTTTTTTATTTAATTTTTGAAACAAGATATGCCAAACAAGCCCCTACGCCCACGCCCTCGTTTGCCTGCAAAAAAGCGACTAAGCCTACGTATTAACCGTATGTGTCACGGATGTTTGATATTGTGCATAAATTGAAATCGATACGTGTTACCTCCTCGTTCGATGGCACATGCATGAAAAACTTTGTATGAATTATTAAAGGGTAAAATATAGCATGGAGCTTTTGCATCGTCAGTGAAATGGAAATGCACAATGATTACCGAGAAGTGAATTTTGTGTCAGATTATTTAGCGTTCTTGGCAGCTAAGGGCCTAAGTGGACTTCATCGGTTGGAGCGTCCTCCGTCAGGGGCGAGCTTATGGTTGCAATACGATAGGATGGACATGTCTCATCCTCGATCGGTTCTAATTTAGGCTCGGTGTAGCCTCCTTTTATTGAACCAAAAGCAAAAAAAGGTAAAATATATATTTTTCCATGTTTTTTGACTTATTTGTAATGAAATTCAAATTAAATGTCACGTTTGGCAAT